ATTTGCTGCTCATCTACCCTTATTTATAAACAATTTGCCAAACATACTCTAAGTAACCCATAGTTACTATTGCCTAGGATGTCCGAAGTAACATGCTTGAAACGAAAGCTTGGATGTGTTCCACCGATGGCCTGCCGAATATGTAACTGACTACATATGAAACTAGGGTGTTTGCTGCATTGTTTCCCTATGTAAATATGAGATACTTTGAATTCCATTTGAGAAATAAAGGTCAAACATTGTGCCATTTCGACTACAGTTGCAATGCTATTGACTTTTTCTTCTCCTTTTTTATTAGGTTCACCGAAAATGTTGTGTCACTTTCGAATCGAAGGTAAGGCCATCCTTTCTCCCATGCAAAGGCTCATTTGGGATGGCAATTAAGTTGAGCAACTTATCGGTTTGTTTGATCGACTCATCTAGGCTCTGCTCATGGGCTAGTCTAGGGACGAGCTCAAGCGCGAGCAGTGCCTCAAAAAAATATAGACATGCATGGCACATGGATCAAATTGCGTTTGATTAAGTACATGAGTATAAAGAATTGTCAAGACACTGAGTAATGAGTCCAAAATAAATATGCTCAAATTGTGTTTGATGATGTAAATGATGTTTAAATTTGTCATACATTGTTATTTTGTTAATAATATTCATTTTCTTTAAAAAATAATTATACGTACCAAGTTGTAAGTTTATAATTTTAACTCCGCCTATTTGAACATTAAGTAGCCCACCCCAAGCCCAAAAAAGGAAGTATTTTTAAATTTAAAAAAAAAGAAGAATTTAATTGAGGGAGCTCGTGGACGAGCTAGGCTAGATCTGTGGGCAAGAGCCGAGCCGGCTCGCTTCGGCTCATTGCCATCACTAGGCCTATATTACTACTTGTAAGTATAATTATATTTGTACAACCATGGATTACAACTTTGTTAACAATTGGTATGTTGGCATACTATTTGTCAAAAGAACAACTTTGTGTTAAAACTATACAATGACAGAATATTACTTGATATTCTATAAACAAAGTTGAGTTCTCCTACTTGTAATTATTTCAAAAGCTCAACTGACCAAACGACATCATAAAACATCCACTTAGTAAATCTTATATATGTGAAAGTACTACCCCGCCGGGGGGGCCTAGTCTCCTAAAAAATGCAGCATCAATATTTACCTTAGTCCAACCTGAAAATTCTACCACAATCCAAGACTTGTTTACAGCACTTGCTACCAACACTCACATACGTAAGGTCTATTGTGGAAATTTATTTGCTAGATCGAGATGCATCATTTGGTTTGACAATATTACGACTCGAAAAGAAATATATATTTATATGCGTCAGTCGCTTCAAGCCGATGAAGATGGCTTTCTGGTATATTTTCAGATGTGCAATTGAAGACTACTAATACAATATTGTTAGTATATTTAATTTTCTTTCATTATTAAATTATATTTATTTTATCTTTGTATGAAAAATTGTAAACGAAATATTAATTTGCCACGATTTTAACTTCATCTGCTATACAGTAGCCATCGCAAACCCAATAAAAAATGAGATTGTTTATAATTCTTTTGAAAAAAATCAAATATTCCTTGCAAATTCACACTTTCATTATATTTGGGGTGGAAAAATGTCAATTTTTAGCTTTTCAGAAAAATGAAAAAAGAAACAAAAACAATGGCACCAATCAGGGAGTTGGTAGGACAAGCAAACTCGAGATATTTAGAAACGAGCAAGCTCTGACTCGGCTCGCATCGTAAGAGAGTGCGAGCTAGCTCACTGTTGGGAATTTACTTATCATGCACAGCGGAAATAAAACAAATTTCAATTCCCACTAAAAATCTTCTTTGTATTTAGATAGAAATTGTGATAAAAATTATACATTTGCCTAGATCTGCAAACTCATTTACTTTTCCTTTTATTCCAGCAACCTTGATCTGCCACACACAGCTATCTAATTATCCAGTCTCTAACCGAATTTCACACAAAGAACAAAATTGTAGTCACCAGGGTTTTCTCCTCTTGTGCTAGTAAGAATGAATTCTCTACAAAACTGTAAACTCTAACTACTTATTTATATAAACTCAAACGGGTTTGGCCTGACCCGATCCAATATTTAATTAAATTCGGTTCATGAATTAATTAATCCAATTACTTAATTCGGGCCGATAAATAAGCAACCCAATTTATTAATTTATTCAACGATTATTAAATTAATTAATTAATAAATCACAATATTCCAGTTCTCCTTTTGTCCTTTTGTGTGCGATTTATCATGTTCTCGATCTTGATGTCTAACGACGTGAAATATTTTTTTGATCTAATTAAAATTGATAAATTAAAACATCCTTTTAATTTATTATCAATTCACACTCGCCGTTCCAAATTGACATCTAGCTATGTGTCAGGGCAATAAATATGATGGGAAATGTCACGTGGTATGACAAAACTAAACTTATTCGTTTACCGTGAAACTATAATTCATTTGTCAATATGATCTGATCAATTATGAGATATGGAAGTGTGTCAATCCCAATTATCGATCATATCTTTCATTCTTCTATTAAGTCAATATAAGTCGAAAACTCATTTTCCACTTCTGATTACACATTGGCCAATGATTTCGTTATCAACTCAATTGAATGAATTGTGGATCATAATCTCTTATTATCTAAGAGTAACGAATCTTCTATTGGTAATTCACAACATTCATACGATTCTTGACATATCCGAGCGATGCCGTATTAGCGGCTCTTGATAGAGCAATATCAAATACCGTTAAAGTATGACTGTCCTCATATAAGGGACTATGATGGTCTCAAGTTAAAGGACCAATTCCACTACTGAATGTTAGAAATTAACCACTAACATTCAAATAGTTATCCATGTGGAATCTCCCAGCGGGTCTCCAATGTTTTGTTCTATAACAAAAAATTCACGCGTTCATTTAAGTGTCACCAAATTTTAACTTGTGAGATCAGTTACTTACTTCATAAGTAAGAAATTCCACACGTGATGGTCTATCTGTAATAACAATATCTGTATCTCGTTATTATTTACAACCATGGATTATTCAAGATTCAATCATATGTAATTTATATCTCACAATCACAACTCTTTGTAATTAACAATTTACTGAAACTTAAATCTTCAGACTCTATTATTTAATATTATTCATTAGAATATTAATTTAAATAATAATAGATCTTGCCAAAAAATAAATACATTAAATATATTAAAGTGTTTACAACCTAAATCGATTGGACCTAGGACATTAACACTTAAACTCGCACCGGGGCATGTCGAACTCAGCAATTGAGCAACTTGACTCCGCACATATAATACACCTACTTTGATGTGTGTTTATAGCCTTTATGTGTGCTGTGGGAGCCCCTCTTGCTCCACTAAGCGCTGCAAATGACTAATTCAAATTCTTCAAAAAAATTCATCCTACTGTTTCCAACCTCACTACCGTCTTTGAAAACATTAAGTCATTTGCCTCCGTAAGTATAGCTGGTTCAAGATCGTTTCAGACTTAGAGGATGTTTGATGGGGATTAAAATTAGATTTTTTTAGTAGATTGTGATAAAAGTTTTTGATATGTGTTGTTAAAAAGATGTGGAGTCTATAAAAATGTGGTTAATATTAATTATTTGACGTTGACATTTTAATCCAAACCAAACAGGCTCTTAACTAATTATGGCACTGTTTGATTTAGTTAAAAAATTTATAAAATTTTAAGTTAAAGTCAACAATTAGTTTAATTATACATTTAATGAAATTCAAATTTTATGAACTTTTAAATCATACATGTCATCAATATCTAATTTTTTAACAAAAGTTAACATGGGCTGTATTTCATATAGATTTCAGTGTCACAGCTTATTGGCATATGATCTAATGGGATGCTGATCTTTGGTTTCTATGGAATCAACTTTTTTCTAATTCCATCATTGTTCCCTCTCGCACACTCTCATACCATCAATGGCTTCTGTCAAGATATCTAGAAAGACAATCGCAGTCACTATCCCAAACAATCTTGCCACCGAACAATGCAAGTAAAAGGATAACCATCAAATCTATTCCTTTGCAGCTGATATATAGATTTCGTCAGTTAATGCATCATGTCAAGTGTTACTGCATTATATACATGGCAACCTTCATGAGGGTATCTCACTTTGGCGCTCATATTCTTGCTAGCTTGCATTTGCTGACACTGACTGAGCTGAGAACATTGATGACATGACATCATCCACAAGTGTTTATATCCATGTTTTGTTCAACTAAAAAAGTGAATTAAAATTCAAGTCAAAGCGAACGAGAATTTTAATCATATATTTCGTAGAATTCATAACTTTTTAATTACACATTTGATAAAATTTTATCAAAATCTGATAAAAATATGATTTTTATCTAAACTAAACAGGGACTACGTAATTTTTCATAGTTCCTAGAAACAATAATTTGTTACACGAGTATAGCAAACTTACCTCAACCATCTTTGAATTGCTCTGGCTCACACAACTATGCCCTGTTTCGGTTTTGTTAAAAATTAAATTTTTAGTAGATTATGATAAAAGTTAATAAAATGTTGTGGTTGAAAGTTGATAAAATTTGTGAGCCTATAAATGTGAGGCTAAAATTAATTCTTGATTTTAAATTAAATTTTATCAACTTTTTTTTAACTATATTTTAGACTAAATGAGATATGCCATTTTGTTTTTCATCAAATCTAATAGAAGTATCAAATATGCCATTTTGTTCTTTTATGAATGTGTTTTGTTGTTTAAATATGTCATTTTGTTCTTTATTGGCGTACGTATACTTTGGACATATTCAAGATTCTTTGTACTTGCAATAAAAATAAACAAATAAAAGCCAAGAATTCTCACACTCAGTGTGTCCAATCCAATTCGGTGGAAATCATCCACTTGTTGCAGTACATGACATGATCCTATGAATTTCGAGAAATTTAATGAAATTTTCAATGTAACAATCATGTAATTTTCAATCTCCAAATATTTCCCTAATCTCTTTAGCATTGCCTCGAATTTTCTTTCCCCCACTTTCAACCATGACCAACTTTATCGAATTGGACACCGAACTTCTTGTATATGATCCATCTTCATCGTTTTTCGGGATTTCTATCTCGACCTGCTTATCAGCAATAACTCTAGCATTCAAACCTTGGTCTACAACAAAGGGTAAGGCAATTAAGGGGTGACCAAAAGTGAGTCCCTCTATAATAGAACTCCAACCACAATGAGTCAAGAATGAACCTACCGAGGCATGACTCAGTATGTTTAACTGAGGGGCCCAACTCTTCCACACCATACCCTGGCCCTTAATTCTTTCCTCAAAGCCCTCTGGTAAATCCACTGAGCTAGACTTACCTGCCTGAGATGGCTTCCTCAGTGCCCAAAAGAAGGGTACCCCAGATAATTCCAATCCGAGAGCTAACTCATTGAGTTGATCTTGACTCAACGTTAACTCACTTCCTAATGCCACGTAAACCACTGCTTCCATATTTTGATTATCAAGCCAAGTTTTGATTGACACCCATGATTCATTGTCATTTTCTTCCAGTTGGGGGAGCATTAAACCTACTGGAATCACTGGCTTATGGTGAAGCTCTTCGAGCAATTTCAACCAATCTGGTTCGAACTCGCGGCAGTGTCTTAGAAGAATAACCTCGGATCCATCAATTATCTTACCATTAACGTATGCATCTGAAAATTCTGAATCATTCTTCTGAGTTGACCCAACAAACCAGCGTGCTTCATATCGTCGATAAGCCACTTTCGTCTTAAATCGAACCCATTTTGGAGGGATCATGAAATCTTCCACTTTTTTCCTTTCATCTAGGCCGTTCATCATAGTCTCTGATGGTCCAAAAAATGCTAAAAACCATGCACTGACGGCCCGAAAAGTGGCACGAGAAATTCCAAGCCTTACCGCAATTGGAGGCAACCAGTGTGGAGTAAAATCATATATAATCCAGTCTGGACGTGACTCTTCCAAGAAACGAGTCAACCCAGTTTCCATCCCACAAAATGCTTTCTTCAAATAGGGCATATCTTCATTGCTGATATCCATGGTTGCCTCTGCAGATTCAGGGAGCCCTTCAACTTTCGGCAATGAAATCTTAACTAGGGTTATCAAAGAAACTAAATGGAGAGGTAATCTTGGGAGACGATCTATGTTTCTCGGAGTGGAAACAAATGAGATTTTGTGACCCTTTTGAGATATGAATTTGGAGAGCTCAAAGAATGGCATTATATGCCCAAAGGCCAGCCACGGGAACATCACAACATGTAATTTAGTGTTGTTGGCCATGAAATCGGAATCCATTATTGCAGGCTTTGAATTCTCTGTGTTGAATGAGCGGTGCAAATCAATGAGATATTGCCCTTTTAAAGGGAATAATTATTTCTTTCAATTGGAGATTCATCGTGCATATATTTTGCCATTTGCATATTACAAAAGTAAAGCCATTGATTGACACCATGAGAAAGGGCTTTCGTTTTACACAGAGCATATGGTAGGAGAGGCATCAAAGGAATAAACAATGTGAAAGTTGATAAAGGCCGTTTAAGAAAAAAGATAAATTAATATATTGTAATGGAGACAAGTAGAAATCGTCAAACCACGGAATTCATTACTTCCTAGTTTCTATCAAATCATCTGTATAATTGTTGTCATAATCATATTTTTTTCCACGCAGATATTACAGAAAAATCATAAACAAATAATTATGGATGATTGTTTTGTTCAGGTAATCCTCGTCCCATATTATAAATCAGTTTTGCAATACTTATATAATGATTGACGATTTTGTTTACATTCTTTGACATAACACACAGTCTTACCATTAATTTTAACAATATTTATTTAAATCAATGACATTGATTTTAACACTTCAAAGAGTGTCAAATTGGATGTACAACAAAACAAACTTAATTCATTATATGAATTATGAATACTTTCGGCTTTTGTTACATGATAATTAAATGCATACATCTAAACTTAATTACAGCATGAGATAGCCAAATTGTAAAATTTCAACATTATTGGATTATCTTTGTGCTCGAAATAACAATAGAAGTAAAGAATTATGAGATTCTAATGGTTCAATAAAGAAGAAAGTATCCACTTGTAGCAGCACTTGGGATGATCCAGTGATTTCCGAGAAAATTAATCACGTTATTTATGTAAAGATCATGTAATTTTTTGTCTCCAAATATTGCACTCATTTCTCTAGCTTTGTCTCAAGATTTCTTTCCCTCATTTTCAACAATTACCAAATTAATCTTCGTCGTTTTTCAAGATTTCTATCCCTACTAGACTCTGTTGCATTGCCAGAAGAGAAGCAACGGAAGCCCTGACTGACCCTGACGTTTGGGGGTGGGGTTTGCTTCTTTCTTCCAATTATTTATCATGTGGGCCCCGGTATTGTGATAATCTGTCAAAACCCCATGTCAAAAATTTTCTGGCACTTCAGCATTTTCCATCCCAACCTGCTTGTCAACAATGATTCTAGCGTTCAAACCCTGGTCGACAAGAAATGGTAGACCAAAAGTGTGTCCCCCTATAAAAGAACTCCAACAACAGTGAGTCAAGAATGCACCAATCGAGTCATGGCTTAGTATCGTCAACTGAGGTGCCCAATTGTTGAGCGGAAGAAAAGGTCACCAAGGCTTTATCCGAGCTCAGTTTCTCCAATAATTGACACCACTATGAAATCAACTCGAAATTCCTCAAACAACTTCTCACTTACGATTACTCCTTGTTCACCCACTTAGAATATGCACAGAAAGAGATAATCACAAAGAAAAAAAAACCACAAAGGCAGTGAAAAGCAGTAGGCAAAAACCACAAAGAAAGCCACCCGTTTTCACACATAGGGGAGAGAGACAGAGAGTGAAATCATATGACCAAGAGATGAGGCAGTCCAGGATATATAGGTATCAATTAGGTTATAGTGATAGGTCGAGCCCAATATGGAGGTAAGTGGGCTGCTAAGTAGGTTACTAAATGTTAGCCGTCCAAGTAAGTGAAATGGGCCATGGGTAGCACTAATTAAATTAGGCTACTTCAAATGGCTCAAATGGTTTTTTGGGTCAGGCTATTTCATTATGGCGTCAATTTACCGTTCAGCCATTTGGTTGATGTCGATTGAGAAAACATACTGAGTATGGAAGTCATTTGACAACAATTTGTCATTTATGTGTGTGATCGGCCTTGTTAGAAAAGATACGGGAATCTAGACCTCTTTTCACTTCTCCGATAGTGATATAAATATCATTTCTCTTAGTTCTCTTAATAGAAACAAGAGCACTCTTAACCAATTTTAAAACTCCATTTCCAACCAATTTTAAAACTCCATTTCCAATTTTATTAGTGAAATCAGCAATATCAAGTCTCCTTACTAAGATTAAGTTCCTAAACAGTTCAGGAATATATCTAACATCTTTTAAAGTATCCACAAAATCGATCCCAAACTTTAAGGTAATGTCACCAATCGCAACTACAGTATAAGCAGAATTGTCACATAGCACAACATGCCCATTATTTGATTTATGTAAGTTTTCAAACCAATCTTTTTGTGACATTACACGAAAAGATGCACCAGAATTAAGTAATCACTTATGCTCAATTCATCAGGATAAGCAATAAGACTTGTAATAATATAAACTTCACCATCATCTATGTTGAAAACAAAAGATGGCATATTTACTTCATCTATCTTTTTTTCCTTCAACTTACCATTCTCTTTATAGCAGTCTTTTATAAACTCATGTTCTCACAACCATAGCATTTTCTAACTTTAATCCTAAATTTTGATCTTGACCTACTCTTACCCTTCTTTTTACTTTCATTACTACTTGCTCGCTACTACCATGGAACTCTTCATAACTATTTTGCCAAAATTGAGGTCTACCCCTCACCATGTGAATTTCATTGCCTTTCTTATCATATTTTTCAGTTTTAATCTTCATTTCCTTACTTTTGAGATAGCCAATAACAATTTTAGGCAACAAAGCGTCCATACCATACTTGATCGCATTTTTAACTTCCTTATAAGTGCTAGGTATTGAATTAAACAAAATTATAACCTTATAGGCTTTCGATACCGTCTATTCATAGCAAACAATATCTTGAATAAGTTTGTTAAAATCGTCTAAATTGTCATCAAAATCCTTTGAAAGATCCATTTTAAAATTGAAAAATGCTCAACTAAAGCTTGTTTGGAGTAGATTTGAGCAAATACAAGTCTACTAATTTTGTCTAAAGTTCTTTTTTGGTTTTCAGTTTACCCACTTTCCTCAAAATAGCTTTAAAAAAGTAAAATAATTGAAGTAGAGGCAAGCTCATTGACTTCCTCTTTTTGTTCTTTTGAAAAATCAACAGAAAAATTACTTTCAACGACTTTTGAAACATTTTGTTGGATCTTTTGTCGCCATATATAAAAAAATCACATTTTTCGTTAAAAATTGTCAAATCAAAATTGTGAGTTGTCATTTTTACAAATCAATTAAAAAAATGTACAGAATCACAATTAAGCCACACAAAGTAGTTCTGGAGTCACAAACAATATACATCATTCTAGATTCCCAGAGTTTCGTGAGATTGCGATCTCAGATCAAGGGAATGTTCGAATATGTAAGGTTTAGGTATTCTGACGGAATTAACTAGGCAACAACGTAGTATGTCAATCAAAAGATGGTTTCAACCAAAACAATTCCAAAATAGAGTATACTACAGAGATAATAAATGAATTTTATATATAAAAAAAAAAATGCTTCAATTATGTAAAAGCAAATAGTTCCTAATTTTTGACACAAGCAATGGTTACCCCCATACGAAAACCTTAAATCATATTGTCACCTCACACGATAGAAATTTAACAGGGATAAGCCAATTTACCAGAGCAGACCACTTCTGAAGTCCATAAAATTGAGAGATGCGAATCTACTATTTTAGGACCACCACTATTCACTCTAAAAGTTCAGAAAATATTTTAATGCGATTGACCAATGATCACAAATCAAGCGTCCAAGGGCAAAATCATCCAAAAAAACTTACGTATAACCTAGAACACGAAATTAACGATAGTAGTACGTTCAAAAAATTAAAAGGAGCAACCTGCCTGAAGAAAGCTTCTCCAGATTCGCTATCACACATCGTCGCCACCAGTTGTCACCGTCGCCACATGCCACGCAAAGAGGAGCGCCTCCACCTATTGAAGCTAGGTCTGGACTTAATTTGCTTGGTCGATGATTGGTTTGGCCAGAATTGCAGCCTTCAGGTTCCATCCCTTCAAAAATCGACGAGATTTGGACGCTGTTCAATCGATTTTCGATCGGTAAAAGCACACCGATGATCTGATACTAGATTTTGAGCAAAATAGATGGTAGGGTTGGGGCAAACTCTCGAACCAAGCTGAACCGAACCGGACTCGAACTGAACTGAGCAGTTCTTCTTACGTTAAATACTCGAATAGGTATCTGAATCAAGAACCGACGGGTTCGATTCTCGGTTCTAGATCTAGAATCGAATCTTTCCAAATTTTTTGATCTATTTATTTTTAAAAAAGCCAAATTATTTTATTTTTTTCTAAATAAATTTACTAACTAGTTAATTTAGTTCAAACCCAAAAATATGATTTACCTATTTCTAATTTTCAATACAAGCCCAACATAATCAAATTGATCTAAATTTTATCCAAATTTATTATTCTGTCATTTCTATCGTTCTGGAGAAATTGAACTAAAGCTCGACAACGTCTCTCTTAATTATTGTGAGCTCGCTATTTTCATCTTCTTGTGATTCTAACAATCAAAACTACGAAGAACTCAGTAAAGAGAAATGCAAAAGACACGTAAAATTGGACTGCATTATTTTGTAAGAGCTAAAATTGAACTTGTCATTAGTATAATTAATGTAGCTTTGTAAATATTAAAAAAATTAATTATAGTACAAAACCTAAAAATCAAATGGAACCGAATCGAACTAAACCGAATAGAACCAAACCAGCACGGTTCCACTTACTAAATACCCAAAAATTTTGGGGAATCGAACCAGACCATACCCAATCATAATAGAGTGTCACCAAGGCTTTATCGGGCTCAATTTCTCCAGTAATCGACACCACTATGAAATCAACCCAAAATCTCTTAAACCACTTCTCACTCACGATTGCTTCTCGTTCACCCACTTAGGATATGCATAGGAAGAGATAATACAAAGAAGAAAATAACCATAAAGGCGGTGAAAGGGAGCAGTAGGCAGAATTCACAAATAAAGTCGCTCATTTTCACATGCAGGGGGGAGAGACAGATAGTGAAATC